CTTTTCAAAGTTTGGTTGAGTATCTGGTTGGCTTTCCGACAGATTTCGCTCCTTTCTTTCGATATTCGGTGGTGATGAGGGCAGTGTAGCTCATTTTAAGCAACTAGGCCATATCTTGGCTTAGGCTTTCTGGGTCTAGAATTCTTAGGGTATGGTATCCGACGTTGACTCTGACCACTTGCATTATGGGTCTCGGCATTCTTCATATTCAGCGGCATTGCAATTCATCAACTTTAGAACATTCTGAAGAAGCTCTACGATTGTCAGAAGATTTATTGATGGCCGAGGTCAGGGTCCATTAGGCAATATACATCGTTCTTATCGCAATTCCGTTCTTATTGTGATATTAATGTGAGTGAGCACAGTTGATGCAAAACACAAAAAGTACATATTTGGCCTGCATATCTCAGAGGATTCCACTTCCTACTCTCAAAAGAAACTATTTACATGCCACAAGGACCGACGAGATGCAGTATCAGGAGGGATGATGGGGATCGATCTTTCTACGCTCTTAAAATGAGTGATCATGTGATCCTTATTCCTCTTCGGACAGAATCTTATGGAATACGAGGTAGAACCTTGACTGATTCGAGTACTCCGTACAATCTCTAATGAAACCGTGCCATCACTAGGACCTACTTCATCACTAATGAGTACTACCCTGATGAAGTGTTGGGATCCCCGGCCTCGACCTGCCATCCCAGCGGGGAGACAAGCGGGGAAAACTCCCCTTGGCATCTGGTGATTTGTTGCTCTCCAGCCAGTCAGCGTGGGGTATGGATGCTTGGCAGAGACGACGATTTCGATGTCGGGCCGGCATCGATGGCCTTGAAGCTGCCAAGTTGTTTGCGTTTTGCAGTTCAAGATGCTCGGTCTGTCAAAGGTTGAGCTCACAACTTCATTTGGTTCAAAGCTAACATATATGAAGTTATCAACACAGACGAAGTCTCGAAGATCGACACGAGTTGGCAATAATAATAGCTGACTGGGTGCATGATCCCCTGCAATATGCCAATAGAGCGCATGCTATAGTGCATAATATTCGGCTTATCCAGTTCCCGTCCTGGACAAGATCAGCATCATGGGCACCAAAAGCGGACTGGTTGGAACCCCGATATTTGACCGACTGACCAAGACCCTGCAATAATACAAATTGATGACCATCCTTGTTTGCTCCATTTCTTCCCCGCTGGTTGACCCCATTTATGGGGTTCAACTGAGTAAATCCAGTCTAGTCCTTCATGAGAGCTCTCATGGTCCCCTGCCCAGCTCCGAGCCGGCCAATTGCCGGGTCCTTGTAGACTTCGGCCCAGGCGCAATCTCCGAGCAGTCGTCCCGCATACTTGGATCTGATTGATCTGATGTGTCCGATGTCTGTCATACAGCGAGAAGAACGCATGTGCCACCGGCCGTGCTCCGGGAAAGTGTAAGGTGCGTCCGATGGAATGTTCTGCCGCTAGGGCCCAGGTCAGACGCATATAAACCTGCGCTCTCTCGCTCTTCGATTCATTTCATCCCCAGTACCGATCTCAAGTCTCCAGCCCAACATGTTGGGATCGCTGCTACTTCTCGCCCCTCTTGTGGGAGCTGCCGTGATCGGCGCCAGGGACAACAGCCAGGAATGTCCTGGTTACAAGGCCACGAATATCAAGCAGGGCCACAGCTCCTTGACGGCGGATTTGACCTTGGCCGGTAAACCGTGCAACACTTACGGCACGGACTTGAAGAACCTGAAACTTCTTGTGGAATACCAGACTGGTAGGTATTTCAGCTTTGAAAGGCAATGGTTTTTTGAGCTTACTTCTCTCTAGATGAACGTCTCCATGTTAAGATCTACGACGCCGATGAGGAAGTTTACCAAGTCTCCGAGTCGGTTCTCCCTCGCGTGGATGGCAAAGGTGGATCTAGCAAGAAGTCAGCTCTCAAGTTCGACTATCAGGCGAATCCTTTCTCCTTTAAGGTCAAGAGAGGCGGCGAGGTGCTTTTCGACACCACCGGTTCGAACCTGATCTTCCAGTCGCAGTATCTGAACCTCCGCACCTGGTTGCCCGAGGATCCTTATCTCTACGGTCTCGGAGAGCACACTGATTCTCTTCGTCTGGAAACCACAAACTACACGCGTACTCTGTGGAACCGTGATGCTTATGGTATTCCTGAGAAGACCAACCTGTACGGTACTCATCCCGTGTACTATGACCACCGTGGCCAAGACGGCACCCACGGTGTCTTCCTACTAAACTCCAACGGCATGGACATCAAGATCGACAAGACCGAGGACGGCAAGCAGTACTTGGAGTACAACACTTTAGGGGGCGTCTTTGACTTTTACTTCTTTACCGGTGCCACCCCCAAGGACGCTAGTATCGAATATGCGAAAGTCGTCGGTCTTCCCGCCATGCAGGCCTACTGGGCTTTCGGTGTTTGTTCCCCAGTCTTTCGATCTGCCGGATTCCTGTCTAACCCTCTTCTAGTTCCACCAGTGCAGATACGGCTACCGTGATGTCTTCGAGGTTGCTGAGGTTGTCTACAACTACACCCAGGCGAAGATTCCACTGGAGACCATGTGGACCGACATTGACTACATGGACAGACGACGGGTGTTCACTCTTGACCCTGAGCGATTCCCTCTTGAGAAGATGCGTGAGTTGGTGACATATCTGCACAACCACGATCAGCACTACATCGTCATGGTCGACCCCGCTGTCAGCGTGAGCGGTAAGTCACCTTTTTCCAAGTACGGAGCGGGGTTATCATTGACAGTCGCCTAGACAACGTCGGCTACAACGACGGCATGGAGCAAGGCATCTTCCTGCAGACTCAGAACGGTAGCCTCTACAAGGGTCAGTCTCACCTGTAAACATCAATGACACCCCAGACCACTCACCTATACAGGTGCCGTCTGGCCTGGTGTGACTGCTTATCCCGACTGGTTCCACCCTGACATCCAGGAGTACTGGAACGGCGAGTTTGACAAGTTTTTCAACACCGAGACCGGCGTCGACATTGACGGTCTGTGGATCGATATGAACGAGGCCGCGAACTTCTGCCCTTACCCTTGCAGCGATCCCGAGGCCTACTCTGAGGAGAACGATCTGCCTCCCGCCGCTCCCCCTGTTCGTCCCAGCAACCCACGCCCGTTGCCCGGATTCCCTGGTGATTTCCAACCTTCGTCCTCCTCGAAGCGGTCCACCAAGGGATCTAAGGTTGGACTGCCTAACCGTGACCTGATCAACCCTCCGTACAAGATCCGCAACGAAGCCGGCTCCATCAGCAACAAGACCATCAACACCGACATCATCCATGCCGGCGAGGGATATGCCGAGTATGACACTCACAACCTTTATGGTACCAGTAAGTAGCGCCCATCGGCCCGGTCGCGAGCCCAGTCTAACCTTTCCACAGTGATGAGTTCCGCTTCTCGCAATGCCATGCAGCACCGTCGCCCTGACGTGCGGCCTTTGATCATCACTCGCAGCACATATGCCGGTGCTGGCGCCCACGTTGGACACTGGTATGTGCAACCCCGAGATCAATTCGTGAATCTGTACTAACCGCCGCCAGGCTGGGTGACAACCTCGCTGAGTGGGGCAAGTACCGCATCTCCATCGCGCAGATGGTTGCGTTCGCCTCGATGTTCCAGGTGCCCATGATCGGATCCGACGTGTGCGGTTTTGGCAGCAACACAACCGAGGAGCTCTGCGCTCGCTGGGCCCGTCTCGGAGCCTTCTACACCTTCTTCCGCAACCACAATGACATCGCCTCGATCCCGCAGGAGTTCTACCGCTGGCCCACCGTTGCCGAATCCGCTCGCAAGGCCATCGATATCCGCTACAAGCTCCTTGACTACATCTACACTGCCTTCCACCGCCAGACCCAGACCGGCGAGCCCTTCCTGCAGCCCATGTTCTACCTCTACCCCGAGGACAAGAACACCTTCAGCAATGACCTGCAGTTCTTCTACGGCGACGCCATCCTGGTCAGCCCCGTGAGGGACGCGAATCAGACTTCGGTTGACGCATACTTCCCCGACGACATCTTCTACGACTGGAACACGGGCGCCGCCCTGCGCGGCCACGGAGCCAACGTCACCCTCAGCAACATCGACGTTACCGAGATCCCCATCCACATCCGCGGCGGCAGCATTATCCCCATCCGGTCCGAGTCCGCCATGACCACCACCGAGCTGCGCAAGAAGGGCCTCGAGCTCATCATCGCCCCCGGCCTCGACGGCACCGCCTCGGGCAGCCTGTACCTCGACGACGGCGACTCCCTCGAGCAGCGTGCCACTCTCGAGCTGAAGTTCACGTACCGCAAGGGCCGTCTCCAGATCAAGGGCAAGTTCGGTCTCCGCACAGACCTGAAGATCAACGCTGTTACCCTGCTCGGCCAGAAGGCTGCGCCTCGCGGTGTGACTGCCTCCAGGTCCGTAAACGAGGCTTCCTTTGACTCTGGCCGGCAGAGCGTGACCGTCAAGACGAGCCTGGATCTTACCGGTCCTTCCGAGGTCAACCTCAACTAGATTTGTACAGTGTTAGCTTGCAGCAACAATGTGAATCAATCTATTACACTTTAATTGAATTGCCATTGGCAGCGAGGCCGCAAGGGATAAAACTACGTCCGTGTCAGTGTCTACGTACTTCTACGAGTACGTAGCCTAATGATCCCTTTGAACGTAGCAAGTACATACTCCATACAGGAACCAGTTCCGCAAAGGCAAGTACTAGTAAAACATGTTCCACCCACAGGAACGCGGATCATTATCATTCATCTACGTCCCTGCATGATGATCCATACTTCACCCACATACCACGCCCATCTCAAACAACGCAAGGGACCAAAATACTACAATCAAGGGCCGCAGGCCGCACAACAAACGCGCCCTACCATCCATAAGTACATCCCATTCCCTTCTACTTTAACAGAAACAGCCCGTTGTCAACGCACATCTCCTCAAGTTCCACCTCACTACCCAAACAAAACACAAACCACAAACCACCAAAATGCAACTCAACCCCATAGCCCTCGCCCTCCTCTCCACCCTCACCCTCGCCCGCGCCGACCTGAGCTACTACTGCGAAATGGCCAAGGACAAATCCAACTTCATCCAGAAAGCCTACTGCTGCGATGACCTGGTCCCTGCCCGGTACGCGCAGGGCTCGCTCCAGGCGGAGAATTGTACGTGCGGCCTGCTGATCATCCTTGGGTTTTCCCTCTTGACTGATGCTGATGCTGATGCTGTGTAGGTACGCTTGCGGATCCGAAGACGGTGGGGGATAAGTGCCCGAATGACGGGACGGTGCCGGTTTGCTGTTATACGATTGTAAGTTGATTGTCTGTGCTTGGGGTGAGAGGGCGAAAGAGAGGGCGGGGGCTAATGGGTGATAGGAGCATATCTTTATTTGTACTTCAAATGGGTATATCCAGGACCTGTAGGAAGCGGGAGGTTGAGGGTGGTGTATATGGTAGATGGTGTTGTGTATGATGGTGAAGGATGTGGCTGGTGATATGATATTGTCTGTTGCTGCTGCGTGATTATGAGTAACAGAAGAAGGGGATTGATGTGGATGATTGAGGAGACAATTGACTCCTGACAAACTTCGAGTCAAACATGACAATACCTCGGCATTTCGGGATGAGTCTTCATATATCGTCGTACTTCTTCCTCATGACTCATGATAATTGCAAACCTGGACTAAGATGACTCGCCAGCCAAAAGTGGAGAGACGGAAATCCCCCATCTGCCGACGTCTCGGCAAATCCATCCACTACAATTAAGGAGACAGACTAACACAAAGACCGGCTCATCGGACTCTGACCGAGATTATGACGGTCTTTTTCCGTTTCATGTGATGGACAAGATTGGTGGAAAATAGGCAACGCCGTAAATACATTCAAGTCGTAAGTCATATCGTCGCTACGCAGCACTGCGCCTCGATCACCGCTGGAGTAGTCAAGTACCACCCATCAACTCCTCCGCGTTCAACCTGAACACCCGATCAGTTAGTCCAGTCTCACTGGCACATAATCGCAGACACAACTCGGTGAACGGGCCAACGTCAACCCCATGAAACCGCGTGTGCGGCCAGTCTGTCGCGTATATTACCCGCCTCGGGCCCCTGCTTAGAAGTTCCCGCGTAACGACCTCAAGATCGCGCAGTTGTTTGTCCTTGCTGAGGCGGTACGGGGCCGAGATTTTGACGTATGTCTGGCCGGCTTGGAGGAGGGTGATAAGCGACGAGAAGCCTGGGAGGGTGTATGGATTGAATTGACGAGTGGTGATGAACGGTTTTGGAGGGAGAACGGGGCACCCGAAGTGGTCGATGCAGATTTTGACTCCGAGGGACGGAACGATGTGCTTGAGCATGGGCATCATGTGGAGAGGCAAGTAAAGCTGGATCATCCAGCCGAGGGGACGGATGAGCTCTGCGTGTTGGGAGAGGGCTTCTGCCAGCTCGGATTCGGAGAGGACTCTGCCTACGGATTGTAGGTTGACTCGGACTCCGCGCACGCCTAGTGTATGCCATGCGGAGAGAGTGGTGGAACAGGTCGTGGCCGGGTCAATGACGACCACTCCTCGCCCGTGAGACGGGCCAATGCGTTTGAGGGCTTCGAGGAGGCATGAGTTGTCGGTACCGTAGATGGATGGTTGGACCAGAACGACGTTCTTGATTCCCAGGGTAGATTCGAAGGCCAGAGCCTCCTCGAGGGTGTGAGAGGATGGTATGTATGCTGCGCCTGGGGAGACCGGGTACCGGTTCGGTTCCACGACGTGCATGTGGCTATCCCATGATCGTGGGGGGATACGGTGCTTAAGGGGGACGGGATGTGTGAGTTGGTCATCCTTGATGATCGGCTCGGTCTTTCTAGCTGCCAGGCAGAGTGAGGCTCGAGATGAGCTGTCGAGAAGGCATGGCTTGGACTGGAGGGGAGTGAGTATGTTTGACATGGTTGGATGTCGGGTACTCCAGCGAGGGTGAACTTACGAGCGTAAGAAGTCGACGTTTCAGGACTGCTCGTCTCAGCAGATCAATACAAAGGGCTGTCATCGCAGAAACCAGCTCCGAGAATCCACGTAGTGTGCCACCTCAGCAAGGAATGTGGCTAGGATCATGAACATGAGGAGAGTCCCAACCCCGTTTGCTTTACCAGAGAAGCATGGGTATTAGAGGGGAAGGGAAAAAGAAAACAGGAAGGAATGGACACGATTTGCGTCCGTATCACAGAATGCTTTAGTAGGTGGACATGGTTGAACAAAAGGAAGTGCTGTGACACAAGGAGCGGAAGGTGTCCGTGTCTGCAAATCAAGGGCAGCGAACCGAGCCCAAACGGGACATCGGCTCATAGCAAATTCCTCAGATCTTTCCATTGATCCATTCGACTTCTTCATTCAGGACAATTCCTGAAGCGGAAACTAAAGTGGATTGCCAGCGGATCCATCCGGTAGATCTGCCCTGACCACTGTTAACATCGGAGGACTCCAAGGATTGATGAATTTAGAAGACTCACCTCTTCATCAGTCAATATAACTGATGCCATAGGTGACAGTACTCCGTAGTACTATCCCTGTCTAAGAAATGAAAGATGCTGCCTGCATGCGCAAGGAGACTATCAGTCTCATCGGAAGTTGGCCGAAGCGAGACCCTTGTCATGTGCTTTTTCGGCGTCTGCGAATTTTTCCCACTTCCCGCGGAAGATACCGACCTCAATCTCCCAGAAACGAGGCCTCGGTGGATATCCATTAATCCGATTGTCCAAATTATACCAATCAATTGGCAAATTAATTCCATCGTCTCCATCAAGAGCTTTCCCCGCAGACCTTGAATTAGTGCTTGTTTCTGTCTAGTTCTTCCCCGCATGTCATCGTTCAGTCGCCATCATGCGGCTGGCGATTGACTGGTCGCGGTGGACCACCAGTCCTTATTACGCCGTCGTCATTCTGATTATTGCCTGCGGGAGTATTCCGAAAGGTATATGCGCCTCTCGATATCTGCCAATTCGTGTACTGACCGTGCATGTCGTCAATCTACAGGTTACGATGAAGGTGGCTTTAGCGCCAGTGTCAATCTAGAGTCGTTTGTGAACGATTACCATCTCGCGTCTTCTGAATTGACGAATAACAAGACGGCTTTGGCGAACCGGAAGGCCAACATCACCTCGTTCAACGTTTTGGGTGCCGCGTTTGGCGCCCTGCTCGCATTGGACTTGAACGATCGTCTGGGCCGGCTGCGCTCGTGGCGATTAGCTTGTCTGATATGGGCCTCGGGTCTCTTCGTTCAGGTCTTCTCCTCTGGTATATACGGTTTACTTCTTGCGGCGAGGCTGTGGAGTGGACTAGGGGCTGGAATGCTCACAGTTACCACACCGTTGTATCTGTCCGAAATTGGTATGGGATGCGCGATTTGGACACAATTGACTGAGACAAATTGCTGACACAGTGATACTCGTTTAGCCCCTGCAAGAACTAGAGGTTTGGTGGTCAGTATCTACATGGTTATATTGTTGGCTGTATTGGCATTGGGTGGGTCACCATCTTCCAGATATTGGGGTGCCTTACAGAGCTGACGTTGTCAACAGGTTTCTTCATCAATTATGGCGCCAGTCTGCATATGGCCCCAACGCGGACTCAGTACCGTCTCGTGCAATCCATACCTCTGATGCCCGTCGGCATTGCGTTCTTTGCGTCCTTCATTGCACCCGAAACGCCTCGCTACTTAGTCTCAAGGCTCCGGCATGACGAAGGACGATCAGTCCTCGCTCGTCTGCGTGGCAAAGGCATCTCCGACCCAGCGATCGAAGACGAATTCAACGCCATCGATGCGCAAGTGCGGACCAAGGCGATGGATCTGGCGTCTGTAACCCACTGGGAAGCATTCAAAGAGACTCAACTGAACTCCAACTACCGGCAGCGATTCTGGCTGCTGATGGCCATGCAAACCATCTCCCAATGGACCGGAGGCAATGGCATAACCTACTACGTCTCCACCATCTTCCAGTACGCCGGAGTCGACGGCAACGCGCGCTCGCTCGTCTCCTCGGGCGCCTACGGGATCGTCAAGCTGGTCTTCACCATGGCCTTCACCTGGGGGCTGATCGACTACCTCGGCCGCCGACGGTGCGCCCTCGCAGGGCTGAGCCTCCAGCTCGCTGCCCACATCTACATGGGAGCATACATGGGCCTGCAGCCGGGCTCGAGCACCAACCGCTCCGCCTCCGACGCCGCCATCGCCTCCGTCTTCATCTACGCCGTCGGCTGGTCCATCGGCCTATGCACCATTCCGTACCTCTACGGAACGGAGATCTTCCCCACCCGCATCCGCAACGTCAGCTACGCGATCAGCATGTCGCTGCACTGGTTCTTCCAGTTCGCTGTCGTCCGCGTTACCCCGAATATGTTCGTCTCGCTCGATGTCTGGGGCGCCTACCTCTTCTGGGCGACCATTTGCTTCTCGGGGCTCGTGGTCTTGGGCATCTGGATGCCTGAGACGAAAGGCGTGCCAATTGAGCGGATGGGTGATCTCTTCGAGGGACCGTGGTACTTACGCTGGCGAGCGAAGCCAAGACCGGTCGGTTCGTCTTTGGCTTCTACGGCTGAAATGGACGCGGGCGTTTATTTTGGTGAGAAGAGGCCGGGTTGGGGGAACGTTTCTGTATGAGCTTTTACCCTGAGGTCTTGAATTCCTGTTTGTGCTACGGCTGCTGTGTATATACCATCTCACTTGCACATTTTCATTCCCAACATTGACTGTACATGGATGTGCAGAACGCATGAATCTGTTCATACAATTCTACCACTTTCAAAATGAATATACTATGACGAACAGTAACGCAACTCCATGGATATCACAACAGTCCATTACATCAAAAATTACACGCATCCAGGCACTCGTCCGTTCAACTTCCAGGATGATCATCCTGTCCTGCTCCACCCCGACTCAAATGCAGACGTCATGTTAGTCGTGATGGGCTCCGCATATGAGAACGCTTCGAATACCTCGGGCGTAATCTCGTAGGAACCCGGATTGTCCAGCGTCATCACCGCGTCGGGTATGCCGCCGAGTAGATGCGTCGCTGGCATGGGCGGCACCCCCGTCTGGGACAGCTCAAAATCCGCGACGGGTTGCTGGAATGCGTAGCCCTGGTGTAGCAGGGGTGCGTTTGTGACGCGCGGCGCGGGGATGGAGGTTGGTATGGTTGGTGCCTGGCGGGCCGGGGAGACGTGACGGGAGCCGCTGCCCAGATTTAGAGTGGGCTGGCCGGGGTGCTGGCTGGGGGATTGACTGTGAGTTCGTGAGTGTGGTTGCGAGGTTGGTTGCGAGGTTGGTTGTGAGCGTGGATGTTCGGGCTGCGGCGGTGGAAGTTGGATGTGGATGTCAATTCGGAGTTTCTCCAGTTCTTGGTATATGAGGCCTAGGGCTGTGGTGATGACTTGAAGAAAGTTAGCATAGTCTTGTCGGTGTGAGAGAAGTGCCGTGACTTACCAGGACTTGAAACCTTGACTCGCTCGAGTGCAAGGATGCAAAACTTCAGTTTGTTGAGTGTACCGGGCGCTGCATATTTTAGGGCCTGGATTTCCAGCAGGAATATCGATGCAGCCGTGTACACGCTATATGCTAATGAGAGCACGACATGCGCGTCGCCAAAGGTACGACGGTAGAGGTCGTATAGCGATAATATGGCAGTCGCCGACGTCATGCATTGGACCAGGTGACTTTTATCGTATGCCTCGCGGTTTCTCTTTGAACAAAGGATCGGACGATGAAGGAGGATGTTGATCGTATGATACAAGCAGCTGTAGAGGAGGCCGTCAGACAAATAGTGACATCGAATCGTAACGGAGACAAACTCACTTCAAAATCACGATATGGCTTGGTGGCGAGTATGGAGGTAGCTCCATAGCCACCAGCTTCAGGTAGTCTGGCAACTCATCCCACCATTCTGCCAAATTCCTCGCCTGCTCCTGGACGCAACTATGGAACTCTGCTTCAGACACCTGTCGAATAGGATCGTAAATATGAATCAAGATCTCATTCAGGATCTCCGCCAATCCACACATCCTCATGAAACATGATGTAGAATGAGCCTGGGTCGGCGGATAGTGAGTGCCTTCTGGGAAAATAACCCCATGAGGAGTCCAGATCTCGATTTCAGACGTATCATCCACTGCCAGAGATTATGAGTAACAGAACCACGCTAGGCAGGGAAGAGACAACTCACATATAGTTCGCGGGGGACTGACGTGAGAGTTCTGCATGGTTGGCGACCTGCCAAAGTACAATGACACCAGCTTGTCCCAGAAATAACAGCTCCAAAAGAGGCGGTTCCGAATCTCAATGTCTTCGTCGCTCAATTGAGCCGAATCCGGATACTTGCGACTATCAATGGAGATACCGAGATCGTCCAACAATCGAAAGGCCATGCCACTGTACAGCCATGCTTGTGTTCGATTTCCTCGCCCACACTCCTGTGCACTGAGCAGGAGCAACGTCTGGATGGTCGGAATGCCAGCATAGCCGACTTTTAACGAATCATACAACCCCGACACAGCGCGGTGAGAGAATTGAGCGCCGCCATCGAAGGATTCGAGGATGGGGCCAATTTTGGGTTCAGCCTTGCACCATCGTACCGAATGAGAGAGAATTGCATTAAGAAGTGTATCCGAATAATAAGGACCATTGATTTTCATATCGCCTGGAGATCGTAAGCACTTTTGTTTCTGACATCGGACGATGTGGGTACGAACGAGTAAACGCAGGTCGGTAAACGAAGTTGAAAAGTGGCTGAATCCAGCACCAGTGAGAGTCAAGAAGATATTGGAATGGTTCCTGCCGAAATCCCAAAGTGAGCCTTGTCCTCTCGGGAGACGAAGAGTCCACCTACCGGCATGGCAGCCAGCTGCTCAAATGCCCTCTCTCTCCAAGCATTGTTGATGAGCCTTTCCTTCCGTCCCTCTAGCTGCATGGCAAGATTGGAAGATGACGAGGTCTCGCTCAAAACACCACTCGGGAGCTGAAACAAGCTGGTAGGACCGTGGAAAGATATTCGGCCATCGTGCTCGATCCGGAGACCTTCAAAGTCCCTGGCCAAGCTAGGCTCGTTTCCCTCTTCCTCCTTTATCCTGGTCCAAGGACGTGGACTCGAACTGGACTCACCCGCCGACGACGGTGAGCCTGCTTTCCGAACGTTTGTCTCGGACAGCTGCTGACCCCGCAGTTTGGCCAGAGCATCTTCCAGCTGTGCGACTCGAGCTTCTAATTGCTTGGTGTACGATAGGGTCGGAGCTCTGAGGACAACTCAACACGTCAGCAAGGGAGAAGGGATCGACAGGAAGCTGCAGGAACGGCCGGGGATACGGATCGGAGACGTACAAGCTATAAACGCACGTTTCCCCGCGAGCTGCACAACGCGAACACGACGGACTGGCACCGTTGCATTTTACCTAAATAGTCAAACGTCGATGAGCTCCGTGTCCAATCCGATAAGCAAATAAGGTCCAAACCGTCGAGGATCCTTTCTCCGTATCTTCACATCCTCTTCGGAATTCACCCGAGGGGACAGGGGGAAAACCCACCTTGCGCTTGCGGCAGGCCTCACATGAGAAGGCGCTCTTCCGAGTCAGATTCGTTTTCAACGGGATGTCGGCCATGCCCGATTTACTTGGTTCGACTACCATGAAATCAACGAGGGAGGCGAATCAATATGATCGCGGGAGATCGAACAAACTGCGCGGAACCCTCCATGAGAAGAATTGGACTCAAACAACAAGAGGCGAAAACAAAAGGGAAGAGAGAAGAAAAGGTCGCAGCGGTAGTGGGGGGGGTGAAGGACTAGAATCGGCGGCGAGTGGGAAGAGGGGATGAGGGGGCAATGCTGCCCTGCTAGCAGCGACTCGGGAAGTTTCGCAGGCTGCTTGCTGGTCTTCTAGAAGAGCTGGAAGAAAAATAGGAGGAATAACGTTGTCGCTGTTGGTGGGGGGGTGTGTGTGGAACATGGAATCCGAAAGTCGAATGGACGAGCGATCCTCAATCAGAGCGGATCAGAAAGGAAAAAGCATAAAAGCTTCTTTAAGAGACTGTCAAATAACGGCATGCCGCCATGAAGTCCAAGACGGCTCTGTCGGTGATACTCCGGAGTATTTGTCCTGGGCAACTTAGAAGTCATGCTGTCATCCCCGATTTCGGCAACATAGACGAGGAGTCAGTAGATAATCATTTCGCATTAGATAGTATTAGTCTCGCAAAGAGGTCCTGCTTCCTTCAAGCCAACTCTTAAATTGACATAAAATGTCTCAGATGAAGAGCTGATCTCGTTGCAACAAGGCTGGAAGTGAGAGCCGAGAGCCCTAACCTCTATAATGGTGGCTCCGTAGAGACTTGGCATCCCGAAGCCGGAGGACGGGGGTGATACTCGATTGGGCATGGATGTGGATCACTGCCTCGTATATGAAACTGGGCTATGGTACAGGATAGTAGTCGAGATTATAGTACAAGGATAGGACATAGGATACATCAGACAAATTGCTTCTCCAGCTGTACCAACAGATCATGGACCTCATCGACCTTCAGCCTGACTGCCCGTGGCTTGTGGAGAGCGTTCTCCCCCAGCCTTGTCTCGAGCACTTCCTTCAATTTCTGTCCATTTGCATCTGTTTTGGTCTGCATTTGACCTGTCACATCCACAGTGATACTCGAGTCCGCGACATCTTTAGGCCCGAGGATGAAAATCAGATTGTACTTCATCTGTTTGGCCCGTTGGATCTTCTTCCCGAGCGTCTGGCTACTCGTGTCGACATCGATCAGGAATGTCGAGTCGACGGATGAAAGAGGCTTTGGAGAGGTTGCATTGCCCTGGCCAGCAACAAGAGGACGGAAGCCGGAAATTTTCGCGGCAGCTTCTTGCGCCTGCTTCAGCACCGCCTCATCCTGGTTGACCGTCAGAATGATCCCCTGACGCGGGGAGAGCCAGAACGGCCAGCGACCGGCATATTGTTCGATAAGCAAGGCAAGGAAGCGTTCCAGCGACCCAAAATTGGCCCGGTGAACCAGCACGGGCGTCGCTCTTCCTGGAGTCGCCGGGTTGTAGTCCTCTTCACCCTCCGCAACTTGATACTCCAACCCGAACCGTTGCGGCAGGTTCATATCCAGCTGAATAGTGGATAATTGGTGATATTTCCCCGCCTGATCCTGCAATTGAATGTCGATCTTCGGCCCGTAGAAAGCACCATCACCCTCGTTCATCGCCCATTCCCTCCCACTGTTGTCCAAGGCTTCCCGCAGCTGAGCCTCCGCACTGTCCCATAGCTCCAGGCTCCCGATAAAGTCCTTCTCAGGCCTAGTAGAAAGTACGAGACGGTATGGTCCCAGCCCAAATGTCGTCATCACCATGTCGACGAACCCCAGCGCGGACGCGATCTCCCCCTTGATCTGCTGCGGTCGGCAAAAAATATGACCATCGTCCTGATGGAATCGTCGGACACGGGTAAGCCCGCTCAGGGATCCCGAGACTTCGTTACGGTGGAGAGGGCTGAAATCGGCGTAGCGGATGGGCAGTTCGCGATATGAGTGGTTCTGCGACTTGAAAAGGAGACAATGGCCGGGGCAGTTCATCGGTTTCAGGCCGTACGATTCGTCCTCGCCCGCTTCTCCGTCGGTTTCCCCCGTGGCTCCTCGACCTTTGACCTCGTACATGTCATCCTTGTAATTCTGCCAATGGCCCGAAACCTCCCATAGAGAACGCTTGTAGATCGTTGGCGTCAGAACTTCGCGGAATCCGTATTGAAGGTACTGGGTGCGGAGAAACGAGATCAGTCGGTTGATGACGTGGGTGCCGTTGGGTAGAAAGAGAGGCGATCCAGGACTGTAGATAGAGGTGGTGAAGAGATCTTGAGCGGTTCCTAGAGCTCTGTAATCCGTATTCGACGCGGTGGATGCTGGGAGACGGGACTGTTCAGCATGCGCTTCGGAGCACGAACAGGATCGGCTTGATGTCGTTGACAGCCATTGCAGTCTCGTGGTCGGCGCTCTAAAATTTTTCGCGCCATTGTCGAAGACTGGTCGTTTCGAGAACGAGCGCTGCCAGGAGAGAGCGGATAATCGACGCATGGTTGGTTAATTCATGGCAAGGAATTTTTCTTCCGCGACACGACGCGAAGGTCCAGCTGGATCGGCCCGATTGGGAAATCAACGAATGGCATGTGCGCTTCCCCACTATAACAACAGTTTCGATCGACACATCAGCGCATTACTTCGCAATGGCATAAATGCGATGACTCTTATTGCGAGAGCATCAAGACAGATATATCTGTCGGTTGAGATTGCAGCGGTTCTTAATGCTCATCATTCTGGCGCACTGCGATCTTTAGTTCGACGGTCAATCCAAGACGCCGAAAAGTGGAAGCATATACGAATAAAGTGAAAAAGCCCAAATATATACTCAACATGTCTCCGGGCTCAGCTTGCCCAGCAGAGAGCTCTGTACTGGGCGAGTCCTGGGTTGTGGCGTCAACCTCATCCTTGCAAAAGAAGCATCTACCAGAAGAATCCGAGCGAAAAGGACAGGCAAATAAAGAAGACCAGAGCAAGGGATGCCATTCGATGACCACATCTGGTTCTTCAATATCAGGTCCTGAGCTCATCATGCCGTCAATATGCGAAGTACCTATCTCAGAAGCCTCCTGGGTAGTGCCGGAGTTGCGCTCTCGCACGCGGTCCACGCATACAGTCAAACGAAGACACAAGCGATTATCCGATCAGCCAGGGAAGAAGGGAGAGTCTGGAGCGTCGAGTTTGGAAGACTCTACGGCAGCAGCGCGCAGTTCACAGGGAGGTGAAGGCGTGTCCATCAGCTCTGGAACAACATCTAGCTCTACGCGCATGGAAAGATACATCAGAGCATTGATCAACCTCCTCCTCATGGCGGCAATCTCCCACCTTCTCATTCTACCTGAGCTCGTCCACCAATATCAAACCCTCTGCAGCATCGAGGCAGTATCAACCCTCTACCCAGCGAGCTGCATCCCTCCTTACCCGCACCCACCATCCACAATCCCGCAATCCCGCTCAGTGCAGTCCAACCCCAACCCCATCCTAACCTCCCAATCCCGCCTCGAAACCCTCTTTAACATCACCCTCACCCAAATGTCCATCTTACATCCCACCCTGCGACAAACCGAGTCCCTCCTCCGCGACCTCCACGCGAATCTCAAAAAGGCCTACCCGGCCGCCAAACACGAACTCGACCTCGAATTCGCCGGCTGCACACAAGCCGCCCGCACCGCGACCGGCAAGTTCGCCTCCCTGAAAGCAGACATCCACTCCGCGACAGACAGCCTCCTCGCTACCGCAGCCACCGACGACAGCACCGGCACAGGCCGAGGCCGAGGCCGCTCCGTCGCACAGGACGCCAGACTCTCAACCCAACTGGCCCGCCGGGAAGCATACCTCGACCAGCTGACGGCGCGCATGCAGTCCAAGGCCGAGGCGCTGTGCGGTGACTTTGCCACGCTGGACGACCACCTCGAGTCTATCGAGGAGATCGTGCAGAGGGAGATGCGCGCCCCTCCCTCCTTTCCTGGCACCCAGACAACTGCCGGGAACGGGGCTAGTGGCGACAACGGCAACGGCAACGGCAAGGGTCTCTGGGCTTTCATCGACGCGATCGTGCCGTTCACCGGAAGGACGTCTCCAGTGCGTTCTGGGGAGGATGAGACGTCGACGTCGGGGATGGGGATGGGCAGGAACACGTATCTGTCCGACTCTTATCGGCAGGCGGCGAATTACCATCGGCCTGTGGCTGATCTGATTCGGAGATTGTATATCGATCTGCAGAGCCTGCAAAGGAGGAAAGGTAATTTGGTATAGGCATTAGCATCAGCATCAGCATCAGCATCAGCATCAGCAACGTAACGTAACGTTCGCGACGAGTGTATGTGATTTCCAGAGTTTGCGCGACTGGAGGAGAGTAGACAAGCTGCGCCTACATCAATTACCGGTTATGATTGACGATCGATAATTATATCTCAATGAAGAATACCTACGAGAAACGTTTCTTCTAATTCGCGAGTCAAAGAATGAAAGAGTCCTGAAAGGGTAGAGTAGTTTCATTAATTATGTATATATGTTGTATGTACGGGGCATAAGGCATAGGCATGGCAAGGGCATAACATGAATCAAATACAAGAACGATGGAGTATCCGACTCCATCGCGAAAATCCCGATCCCAAAATCTGTAGACGTGACGTAGCCATCTCATTAATGTGCATCGTGCATTAAACCAAGGAAATCATTTCGTTAGAATCCCAGCATGGCAGCGACCACGCTGAACACCAGGACGGAGGCTGTGTACGACCCTTTGATGGAGGTGGCGGCGCCGGGGAAGAGAGATGTGGTGGCGGAGGCTCCGGAGCTAGAGGCGGAGCCAGTGCTCGAGCCAGAGCCGGAGCCGGTAGTAGAGCCGGTGCTGCTGCTGCCACCGCTGCTGCCAGTGGTAGATCCGGAGGCGGAGCTGGTGCTGGTGCTGGAGCTGGAGCTAGGGCCGGTGGTGGTGGACTCCGAGCCGGTAGACGAGCCAGAGCTCGAGTTAGAGCTGGAACCGGTTCCAGTAGTGGTCGAGGTGGACTGGGTAGCCGGCTTGGTGGTGGTCGCCAGAGTGGTGGTAGGGGCTGAGGTGGTGGTGGATGAAGTGCTTGTACTCGAGGTGCTAGTGGTGCTGGTGGAGCTGCTGGTCGTCGAGGTCACCGAAGGGCTAGGCGAGGTATCGACGGCCCCGTCGAACTTGATGCTCTGCCATGAGCCACTGTTGTCCGAGTAGGTGTAGGACTCGGCAGGGTTGCTGTTCTCAATGTGAACCGACTTGACGTACATGGTGTACGGTCCCTTGCTGTAGTCGGTCAACCCACCGGCCCATTCGATGGTACCCTGTCCGTTGTCGGGGTCGCCGCCTGCCCAGGAGCCGATTCTCAGGCGCATAGGAGTCTGCGGGAACCGAGTGCCACCCTTGGCATCGTTGTATGCAAGCGTACGCACGACCGCGCCGTCAACATACCAGGTAATCGCATCCTTGGTCCAGTCGATGGTGTAGGTGTGGAAAGTGTCCTGAGGAGTACCAACGCCCACATAAGTGGCCCGGTCATAGGTCGTGGTATCGCCTTTACCGAAGTAGTTGGTCTCGATCTGAGTGGTATCACCGCCCAATGCTTCCTGCGCTTTCTTAGTCCGGTTCAAGAAGAAAATCGGGTGAACAAGCAGGCTTACCCAGTCAATCTCATCCAGATCATCCGACTCTAGGACGATACTGCTCACAATACCGGTACCAGGAGCGGCCTTCATCACCACTTCGGCCTTTCCGAAGAAGAAGTAGAAGTTGGTGTCAATGGTAGGCGCATCACCCTTCTTAGCGACAGTGAACTCAGCGCCCTGTGCGCCAATGGGAACACTGCCTCCAGTGACGGTCCATTGACCCAGAGCTGAAGCTGAGGTGAAGTCGGCAGTGTAACTGGATGCGGCAAGACCCTTGTCGGCCGGACAGGACTCTGCGGCGCAATCGTTAATTAAGCTGCTATAGATCATCTGCAGTAAGAAAAAGACTCACTCTCAAGGGGATTGCAATTTGTGTAGGTCTGTGCAGAGCACAGAGGGAGCACTGCAGTCAGGGCTGCTGCTGCATACTTGAAATACATGGTTGCGTTATGCAGAGCAAATGAGCGCTGCGTCAGGCAAGAGAGCTGTGTACCAGATGATACTGGGGCAAGACTTTTGAAAGTAACGACTGTAAGTATATGCGGTAAGACTTAGGGCTCAGGAGGCTGTCGTCCAGTCAACAAAGAGGTGTGTGTGTGTGTGTGTGTGACAAAAATGATTCTGTTGCTACAAGGACGGGGAATTGACAGCAGTAAATAGTACCCTGGTCCCCGTCGATTACTTATGAAAGAAAGAAGTGGAGGAAACCATGAGCGAGTTTACTGAGGAGGCTGAGCGTGCGCACCGTGGACTATCGAAACTAGAGTCATCAGGACAAAACTATAGATAGTAGTGTCGCCGTGAGGCACCCGTGGGATTAGTCGAGTTTTTTTCCTGCCACCGAGCCGAGGATCGCCTCTGATTGGGAGCGCAGGATTTTAGCATTGTCCCCTGGGTCGATGATCCAGCGTACCGTCTCAGACTCGAGGGGTCTAAGGCAGGAACTGAGTGCTCAGAGGTCAGCTTGCATCAAAGATGAAGGTGGTCAGACACCGTGATTGATCGGACAATGTAGGCAGGCAACCGACCACCCGATCTAGTGGATCAAAAACTGGAGAAGACCCATCTTGCACAGGATCAGCTCATGATGATAGGCGCGTGGGATGCACCTCAGCCGTCGATTGTTCATGAGCGGTAAGACCTGTGACTGGGCTGAGGGTGAATGTGCCCAAACTCGGCCGGAAGGTATTCAAAATTGCAAGAATCTAAGTTTGAGTCTTGACTCTGACCGTCAGACGGACTGACCGACCGGGGAAACCACTTGGCCACAGGCAAACCGTAGCATTGCAAGTGCAAGTGCAACTGTAAGCGAGCGGCGCAGTAGTGAGCTACATACGTACTGGAGAAAAAAAGCTTGAGCCGCGATGTCTCAGACTGCAGACAACAATAGCCCTCTAGGTTAATGTCCTAGTCCGGGTGTGGTTTGGCTCAGGTCCACGGTTGCATTGACACGAACTTGTGTTGGTGATGGAAAGTAAAAATCTCCTAGTCTAGTCACTCTACGGAGTAGTGTCTGTCTAGTACCTACTAATAGTGTCCTGCAAAGTGTCGAGTGACTCGGCAGACTTGATAGTAGTATCGGGTACTGTGCTCCGTAGATAGTAACCATTATTGGTATGTCTCTCCCAGAGATAATTTTAGTCGGTCAGACCTAAGAAATGAAACATTTTCTTTGTTATAATTATCAAATATCAGTTGCCAAGTACAAAGTTAAGACAGATGATGATATTCCAAGTTGAATCACAAAATGTTTGAGAATCCAGGGTCGGTGTCACTCATTAAGAAGGAATCGACAGGCGATCTGTTGATCTCATCATCATCATGATCGAAGGGAATGCGCGTATTTCGCAATCCGAGGAACATTTCGACTCTTCAGTCCGGAGCCATGGATGATCAAGACGTGGGTTTGCCATGTGGATAGACGTTGAGCACAATTCCGTTTGGGTCCTTCACTGCAATAATATTGCATCCCTCTTCCCTACGACTGCTATAGAGGTAGACAAGACTACACTCTGTCGTCTTAGTAACGGTAGGTTGCTTGGGCTAATATATATCAGGATATCGGGATGTTCCATAATAAGGCAGCAATAATAATAATGAGGAAATTGCCGAAGTGATACCATCCCATTCCCAGCCCCCAGAAAATGAAAGGTGGTACTGCCATGTTGTATGTGATTTGCAGATAGATTAAGCGGGATATTAATGTCTGGGATCAACCTGTCTCACTGGAGGAAGATATTGGTCACTTATCATCCAGATAGATACCTGTAGCTCAAGTCTGAGACATCAGCAGGGGACTATGCCAGTGGCACTATCCCAAGCATGCAGAGTATCCTGTCAGTATGCTCCCGTAATCACAGCAAGAGCAGACCCAGACATAAGTAAGACTTACAAAGGGCGGCTAAGACATACGACTCAGAATAGAGCCACCTGACAATCAAGGCCTCGAGGGAAGAAAAGAAAAACTCCCGAGAGGGAATCGAACCACCAGCCTTGGGAGATATGCAGCCAGACATACACATAACAATTCATAAAATAAGACCCCCGCAATTCCTGTTGGATCAACAAACAAGCCAGTTAGTTGCCTTGGTTGCCTTATAACTAACTAGTTAACTAACTAACGTAATCCACAACCGAGCGAGACACTCAACCCCTGAAATCTTACAACCACCATCGAATCATCATCAAATCCAGCCTTTTATCCAATATGGCATCGAAACCAGCAGACTCAAGCATCAGATTAGAAGATCGCATATCTCTTGCAGTCAAAGCA